TTTTAATGTCATTCCTCTTATCTTATTTTGATTTTAATTTGAATTTGTCTCTTCCTCTTCTTCTTCTTCCTGTTCTCCTTCTGATTCTCTTTCGGTCTGCTCTTCTTCTTCTCCAGATTCAGAACCTTCCTTTGATTTTGTTCTTCCTTCTGCTCCTTTAACTTCTTCCTCTCCCTGTTGCAGCTCTTTGTATCTTCTTGTAAATTTCCCTATTTCCTCTGGGCTCGTCAATCGTCTTTTAACTCCTTTATAAAAAAACGAGACACCTTCCGGAAATTCCCACCTGAACTCAATCCTGTTTCTTTTAAGCAATTGTACCAGTGGTTTGTAGGCCTCTCTGCGTTTCAGCAGCCTTATCGGTATATCTTTGAATAAAATTATGTAGTTCCCGTCGATATATAGTCTCTTCTCTCTATTTCTTTGCAGAATCCGATTCCTCATCTCTCTGTCTTTAAATACTATTAAACAATCTCCTGGGAACTTCTTTGGTCTATTTGACCTCACTTTCATTCTGTACGCGTTTTGTATTGTCTTTGCCACTTCTTCCTCCGGCAGTTCTATCCACTGTGCAATTTCCTTTATCAGTCTTTCTTTTATATTTTCATTCTGTATTTCCGGCACTTGCCTCAATCTTAAATTAGCCTCTCTCTGCTTCAGTTCGTTCAATGCAATCGAGTCCTTTATTTCTTCCTGCATTTTGTTGAGTTCTGTGATTTCATTTCTCATTTTCTCTTCCTCTCGCTTCATCTCTTTCATTTCCTGTTTTGTCTTCCTTAAACCCTCATCCACTTTGTTTGAAACCTCTTTGATCTGTCCTCTCAGTTCACTGACTGTTTCCTCAATCCTTTTATCCATTTTCCCAATTTTGTTATCCACCTGTTCTAATTTTGTCTCTAAGTTTTTCTCACTTTGTTTTATTTCTGCGAACATCTTTAGTATTTCTGCTTTGAAATCACTGTCCTGCTTTGAGGCTCTCCTTTCTGTCGGCGTACCTCCCTCTACCCCCTTTTTTTGTGTATGCGACATTGTCCTGTAGAGCAGTGTTCAATGTGTTTTTTTATCTAAAAAATCCTGCACACTTCCTGATAATTACCACAGTTATTAGATCTCCCACCGGGGTTAAGAGATCTCACCTAGGAGAAAAGGTTGTTATTTAAACATATAACAAATTATGGCAGATTATTTTTGTCAAGTCATATGAAACACGCTTTCTTCACTCCCTCACCCTGCGGGTCAACCCTCGAAGTTTGTCCTTGCCCCCCTTAAATTGAAGGGTTAGTTGTATTTCCGCACTGTCCGTCTTATTCTTGTTCTTATTCAAAAGTTTCCCCAGAACAATGGGAGGCAGTTTTAGCTTTAGTTTATAGTCCCCAGTATAGTAAAATCCCCAATGTAGTAAAGGACTTATAATCTATAACCCAGAATATCGTTTCAAAAGCAGTCCCTTAAAACACTAACTCCAAATATAGTCCGTAAATATAGTCCACAGTGTCCTAATAAAGGTTAGGACAGAGGTCAGCTTGTATTATCCCTTAAGTCCAGAATTTTGGTTTTAAATCACCTGAATTGTCTTTGTAGTTTTGTTCACCCTTCTGTATAACCGAGGAGGCACAACCAATCGTTCAGTAGCTAGCAACTCCGAGAACCCCTTATAGGGAGTTTTACCGGATCAGTCCTCAGTTCTCAGCATCTATGTATAGAGCCCCAATATATAAAGCCCAGATGAAATCAGTGGCAGTCTATCACTCAGAGCCCCCCAGCTTCCTCCTAGAAGTCAGCCTGGAAGTCTTCAATTTATCTTTAGCCCTCAGTCGGGAGTTTCCTTTAATTCCACCTTGAAATGGCGTCGGAAGCTTCTCTCTATGTAATGGCTTCTACACCGGGATACAGTTCAATAATCCCCGCTGAGCTTGTAAATTTTTTCCAACGACTGGAGTCTCTACTCTTTCAAAAAGTCCCTCTGCTTCCCTTTTTTTTTAAATTTTCCTTTTTAAAAGATATTTAAAGAGTCTCTTTTTTAGCTTAACTTATCAGAGATCCAAAGATCTATAGGGAAGACTGCAACAGTATCCGCTAGTGGCAACTTACTTTCGCTTTTGGCTCTGCGTCTGTGCTGCGTCTTTTTTTGATGTCAAAAGGATCGCTGCACTCGTGTTTCTATCTTTGGTCTTCGGAAATTTCCTTGTAGTTGTTACCAAGTCCACCTTTAAATTCCAAATCCGAGTTTCAATGTATCGAGAGTGAAGCGCTGTTCCCAGCAGGTTCGGGGCTTCGTTGTTTGGCCGCTGTAATGGCTACCCGTTTGCCGGCTGCTTACTCCGTCGTTCTCTTCACCTCCTTCCAAGGCTGGAAAGAGGCTACCTGACGACCGGGCAAGCTGCTCTCTGGCACCGCCGGGTACCTGCAACCCCATAGTCGCCTTTGACTGGACTTAACCATCCAGGGGTACTTTACTGCAACATTCAGAGCAGTGCACATTTTAAAGGACGGCTGGGTTTCACTTTGCGTATTGTTTCCTGAAAGTGCAAGTGATTTAAGTTCTCCAGACTCACGATTCCTACGATAGCAATGTCTTGCTCCAAATGTAACTGAGCTGTAGAAAAAGTCTCTACGAGCTGAAAGCAGAGACTTTATGTGGCTTTGTTATCCATTAAAATGTTTCAAGGAAAACATTTTTAATGGAATCACATTTCTCCCACATCCCCAGCCAGCCAGTGCCTTAGCCCATTTCCCTTGATCTGTGAGAAGTAGAGCCGAGTTTGATCTTCGACAACATTTCATTGTTGAGATTCAATGTGGGGCTGCAAGGGTGGGGATCGAGAGAGCCTGAACTGGGGTTCTCTTCTCCCTTTGCTACTGCTCAAGCACTGAGCCCCTGAGTTTCTTTGCAAACATCCTTCTGTGTTTTCGTCCCCGCAAGCGTTCGGATTGGGCAGGGAGGGGGACGAGTGAAAGGTCTCAACAGACAGGCTCAGATATGATCCGTTTCCCAGGAGACGTCAGCAGTGTGCGTCTCCTGCGAATGCAAATAAAAGGAGTCTATAATGAAGAGAGAGAGAGGCTAGTGTTTTTTCCTCGCTGCCTTCCACCACCAGGATTTATTGTTCGAAGATAACAGGGCAAAATGAGTACTGTACTGGCCAGGCTCTTGCTCTGCAGTCTCTCTGGCAAATTGCTGGATTCGTCTCCTGACTACCGGATTGTTCTTTTCAGTCCACAAGGAGGGAGGAGGTGTTTGCAGTTAGAGCTTTGCAACGAAAACCAGCAATTTATTGCTAAAGAAAAGGGTGCCAGGCCTCAGTTCGGCTAGGAAACCTCGTGTTGCCAACTCCCAACCTCCCCCAAGTTTCTGAGCTGTGGTTTAATTTGCAAAAATGGGCAGGCTAAGTTTGCTCATCTCTGTGCTGCAAGTTATTTATTTCACTGGTTTCTGCAGGTCAAGCTGATGTTCAGGTGTGTGTGTGTGTGTGTGTGTGTGTGTGGTGTTGTTGTTTTTTGCAGCTAGTCCTAGATGGAATTGCACTCCTGAAGGACCATTCCAGCTGTTTGGGAGTTCAGCTGGACCCAACATGCCCGGGGATGCCAGGGTGGTGGCAGGGCCTGAAGCGCTTTTTACCAGCTTAGGCTGGCACACCAATACCTGCTGCTACCACTTATTCTTTTGCCCTGCTATAAGTTTTCTGGGAAGGTTTAGGGGTTGGTGGTGTGGGGCTACCTTTGAAGGTGACCCAGAAACTACAACTAATCCAGAATGCGGCAGCTAGACTGGTTACTGGGAGTGGCTACTGAGACCATATAACATCGGTCCTAAAAGACCTACATTGACTCCCAGTACATTTCCAAGCACAATTCAAAGTTGGTGCTGCCCTTTAAAGCCCTAAATGGCCTCGGCTCAGTATACCTGAAGGAGTGTCTCCACCCCCATTGTTCAGCCTGAGGGCCAGCTCTGAGGGCCTTCTGGTGGTTCCCTCCCTGTGAGAAGTGAGGTTACAGGGAACCAGGCAGAGGGCCTTCTCGGTAGTGGCGCCTGCCCTGTGGAACGCCCTCCCATCAGATGTCAAGGAAATAAACAACTATCTGACTTTTAGAAGACATCTGAAGTCAGTCCTATTTAGGGAAGTTTTTAATGTTTGATGTTTTATTGTGTTTTTAGTATTCTGCTGGGAGTTGCTCAGAGTGGCTGGGAAAACGCAGCCAGATGGGTGGGGTATAAATAATCAATGATAACAAATTATAATCATAATTGTTACTATTTTATTATTGCAGGGTTGGGACAGGCATAGCTATCTCCCGCAGAACTGGAGACTTGAGATGGGTAGAACTGTCCTGCTCACATTTCCCTGTAATATGTATCTTTCATCCCTTCCTGTTTTCAATTCCATGGTTTCTGGTGTCAATGCCACAGTCTACCTTGACCTGCAAGCCCACTTTGTTTCAATCTTAGCTGGCTCATGATGTCAACCCCTCTTTTTTTAAAAAATAAATTTTTATTGATTTTCCAAACACATAATAAAAACAAACAATACACAAAACAAAAACATACAAACATATAAACATGTATAATTTCATAATCTTATTTTCATACACCTTACTTCCCGGACTTCCCCATACCTCCCCTTTTCTGCATCCTTGTTTTACATTTCTTCAGCAACTCCTCCAATTAACTAATTATTTAATTCACTTTCATTAGATTCTTTTTTCTTTAACTTATTGATTACAGCTGCAATTCTCTATTTCTTAGTTCCTTAACATCTTAACACTCCTCAATTTTACAGCAATTTTTAAGATATATTTTAAATTTCTTCCAGTCTTCTTCCACTGTCTCTTTCCCCTGGTCACGGATTCTGCCGGTCATCTCTGCCAGTCCCATATAGTCTTCGTCTGCCATTCTTCCAGAGTGGGTAGTTCTTGATGTCAACCCCTCTTGGATCGGTCCTTCTGAGTCTCCTTTCTCACTCCAGAGCCTCCCTGCTCATCTCACCTTGTTTCCCCTTCCGTAGGTGTTTGTGAAGGCCCACTTTGACTATGACCCAGCCTCCGACAACCTCATTCCATGTAAGGAAGCCGGGCTGAAGTTCATTGCCGGAGACCTCCTCCAGATCGTCAACCAAGATGACCCCAACTGGTGGCAGGTATGGACCTTGTGTCAAATAAATGAGCCATGGGCTGGATCAGGCCCGGGTGCATGTTCATGGGATTAGGCATGGGTGGCGTTCAGGGAGAGCTGTTTGCCGCCAAGAAATCAGTCTGTAGGGAACTAGGCCAGAACTAGCCAGGGAAATCAGAGTGGCCCCATGCAAGACAGAATAGGACATCTGCACATTTAGGTGTCCTAGAAAGGAATGCAATTTCTAGGCAAAAAAACAGAAGTCTGTATGAGGGGGTCTCCACCTCTACTTTACTGCAATTCTTTTATTAATACTGCGACTGCTAAAAATGTCAGAATGAAGAAAATGGGTTGCGTGTCCTTGTGGGAGGGGGAAAGGTTTTCCCGTGATCTCGGGTCCCGCAATTTATCTCCCCGCCCGGGTGCTCAGAACTAACCTTTGGTTGTTTCAGGCCTGCCACGTGGAAGGCGGCAGTGCTGGTCTGATCCCAAGCCAGCTGCTGGAGGAGAAACGCAAGGCCTTTGTGAAGCGAGACCTCGAAGTCACTCCCTCATCAGGTAAAAGGCACAGCCCCTCCCAGAGCCTCAGTTCTCAGAGTTCCATGGGAAGAGAGACATAGATTGTGAAATGGTTTGAGGAGGGAAATGCGACTCTCCTAACAATTCTCAGCACTTTAGACAGTCGTGACTTCTTCCCCCAAGGCAGCCTTTCTCAACCTGTGGGTCCCCAGATGTTGTTGAACTACAACTCCCATCACCCCTAGCTAGCAAGGCCAGAGCTCAGGGGTGATGGGAGTTGTAGTCCTACAATATCTGGGGACACACAGGTTGAGAACTGCTGCCCCAAGGAATTCTGGGAGCTGCCGTTTGTCAAGGGCGCTGAGAATTCTTAGGAGACCCTCTGTTCCCCTCCCAGAGCTACAATTCTCAGAGTGGTTTAACAGTCAATCTGTCTTCCCGGGGAACTCTGGGAACTTGCTCTGAGTGGGGAATAACAGTGGTTTCTTGGTTCTCGAACGGCTTAGTTGTTGAACAACTTGGAACCCGAATGCTGCAAACCCGGAAGAAAGTGTTCCAGTTTGCAAACTTCTTTTCGGAAGCTGAACATGCTCCAATTTGATTGCCACACTTCCGATTTGAGGGCCACACTTTTTTTTCTGAGTGCTACATTCAAGTCTGTCTTTTTTTGCCATTTATTTTAGGGTTTTTTTTTTTAAAGTGTGGAACGGATTAATCCATTTTGCATTACTTTCTATGGGAAAGCGTGCCTTGGTTTTGGAACGCTTTGGTTTTGGAACGGACTTCCGGAACGGATTAAGTTTGAGAACCAAGGTGCCACTGTAAAGGGTCTTCTAAGAACTGTTGACAATCTGCGGCTCCCAGAATTCCCTGGGGGAAGCGATGGCCATTTAAAGTGGCATTGTGGTGCTTTCAAGGTGCGTCGTGTGAATGTGCCCCTACTCCCACCTTCTTCCACACATGCGATAGCTTTCTCTCTCCGCAGCTTTGCTTAGTGCCTCTTTTTCCCCCTCCTGGCAGGTGCCTTGTGTGGAAGCCTCAGCGGCAAGAAGAAGAAGAGGATGATGTATCTGACCACAAAAAATGCAGGCAAGGGATCTCAGTGTGCCTTCACATTTCTACATCGCCTGACCGCGCTTCCTCTGCATTAATGGCTGATGGCGATTTCTTTCCCTCCCTCTTCAGAGTTTGACCGGCACGAGCTGCTGATCTATGAGGAAGTGGCTCGCATGCCTCCGTTCCGCAGAAAAACCTTGGTGCTGATCGGGGCTCAGGGGGTCGGCCGGCGCAGTCTTAAGAACAAGCTCATCATGTCTGACCAGTCACAGTATGGAACCACCATCCCATGTGAGTCTTGCCAATTGCAGACGGGGTGTCAGGAATGAGCCAGCTCCCAGCGAAGGTTTGCAGCCAACTGCAGAAAGCAGCCAGGAACAGAGAGGCTTAGGTGTTAGTCAAAGCAGGGGAGAGCCAGCAGCTGCAGACTTCCGCTCTTCCTGACCTTGATGGGCCGGCTGATAAGACAGTAACTAAGAGCAGGCTAAGCCAACGCTTGCAGGAAGCACAAATAGATACGAATAGACTCAGCCTCTCAGACCAGGAAGAGGTTGGAGCTGACCCACTAAGTCCAAGGAGTCGATAAATGGGAGGGTTGCTAGACAGGAAGCAAAACAAGAGGCGTAAGAACCGTAAGTTCAATATCTTCTGTCGTGGCCAGAAGCAGTCTTCAGAAGGGTCATCTTGAGTAATGTTGCAGGAGCCGTCTGGAGCTCTCTGTTTGTTTTTGCAGTAAATCCTCCTTTTCCATTACCTATGCTTACTGTGTTATCAAGCTGGGAACCTGGACTCCTGACACGGGGGGATGGAGGGCATCTTAACATCCTGGCAGATCCTACTTCTGTTGTTGCACTCTGCCCTGGGTCTGTGTGTGTATGTGAAGGAGACTCCTGCATCTTGTGTTAGGAATGGATGAATTGGTCTACTTCTGGGTCCGTTTCACATTCACACACCTTGATTTATTTGTAAAATAATATTTGTGGTTGTGTGTGTGTGTGTGTGTGTGTGTATAGGTTTATTGGTTTTTCAGATTAAAGTTTTACAGTCACATATCCAACATACAACATAAAAACAAGATTCAAAAGAATCTCCTAGACTTCCCTCCTCCCCTTTGCGGTTCTTATTATTAATCATTTCCCCCTGCCATCTTTTGCAAATCCAAATCTTTTAACTCTCCATTGTGTCCAAAATTCACCATTAAACTACAAGTGATATTCCAATCCTACTAACGATTTTAACTGTTTACAATGGTTTTTAAGATAAATAATCAATTTTCCCCGTTCCTTATTAAAATTTTGGTCTTCCTGATTTCTGATTCTTCCAATCATTTTTGCCATTTCGGCATAATCCACCAACTTGATCTGCCGTTCTTCTCTGGTCGGGACTTTATTTAAAATCCCTGTTTGTGAAAAAAATATTCATATACTACTGTATCATGAAAATACATCACAGTGGTTTGCAACAATGGAGATATATAAAACTGTAAAGAGTTAACAATAAGAGTTGAAAGCAAAAGCATTATAAAAGCAAACATTAGTGGACCCTTCTGGGGGGATGGACTCTTAATTTTCTGCAAAAATTGAAATAGAAAAGTTTTCATCAGGCAAACATTTAAAAGTTGGCACAGAAAGTGCCCATCGAATCCCACTGCCACGATCTTTACTTAAAGTTGTGTCCCACTTTGTTTCCATCATGGAATCCAGATGCTTGTTATCTTTTATTCCTTTATTTTTACATTTATATATTACCATTCTTCCTAGGATCTCAGGGTGGCATTTATGGTTCTCTCCCTCCTCGTTTTTTATCCTCACGACAACCCTGTGAGGTGGGTTAGGCTGAGGGGCAGTGAACGGCCCAAGGTCGCCCAGCGAGCTTCCTGGCTGAGTGACGATTTGAACTCAGGTTTCCCAAGTCGTAGTTGAACACTTCAATGTGCACTTTTTAAAAAATCTATATGTGTCAGTCTGTAATTTTTCACAAAACGTATTTTCTCACAGAATGCGCAATTATAAACACACTTTCACTTGCGATATGCATTTTTAAATGCATTTTATCTGGGACTATGAAATGCATTTTGATACGTTTAGAGCCAAGAACTGCGTCACAAAATCTGACAAAATGCATACTGTAAGTTTCCATCCACACTTTAGTCTGGGTGGTGCAGATGAGGTCAGTCCCCACCGGAAGATCAAATTTCGAATTATTATTCTGTTGGGAGCTGCCCAGAGTGGCTAAAGAAACCCAGCCAGATGGGTGGGGTATAAATAATAATATCTGTGCTTCTGCAGATACTTCACGGAGACCCAAGGAGCATGAGAAGACCGGGCAGGTGTACTGCTTTGTGACCAGGAGTGAGATGGAGGGAGACATCAAAGCAGGCCGCTACCTGGAACACGGCGAGTATGAAGGGAACCTCTATGGGACCAAGATTGACTCCATCCATGAAGTCGTAGAGTCAGGCAAGATGTGCATTCTGGATGTGAACCCCCAGGTACTGCTTCTTTTCTCACTCCAAGGGTTGGGACCAAGGGAGGAGTGGGGAGAGAGTCTTCCCTTGGTGGGCTGTGCCAGGAACCTTTCCTGGTTGCAATGCTAGGTCTTGGATTGCATAATTTATTCAGGTCACATAATTTGTAAGCACAGAATTGCAACTTGACTCTCATCAGTGTTGCAGTACTGTAAGTCAGTCTCTTCTTTCTTTCTTTTCTTCTTTCTTTCTTTCTTTCTTTCTTTCTTTCTTTCTTTCTTTCTTTCGTTTCTCTCTTTCTTTCCTCCTTTCTCTCTTTTCTTTCCTCCTCCCTCCCTCCCTCCCTCTTTCTTTTTTCCTTCCTTCCTTCCTTCCTTCCTTCCTCCTCTCCTCTCCTCTCCTCTCCTCTCCTCTCCTCTCCTCTCCTCTCCTCTCTCTCTTCTCTCTTCTCTCTTCTCTCTCTCTCTCTCTTTCTCTCTTCTCTCTCTCTTCCTCTCTCGCATTCTTTCCCCCCTCTCTCTTTCTTTCTTTCCTCTCTCTTTCTCTCTCTCTTCGTCTCTCTCTTCTTTCTTTCTCTCTCTCTCTCTCTCTCTTTCCCTCTCTCTCTTCTCTCTCTCTTCTTTCTCTCTCTCTCTCTCTCTCTCTCTCTCTCCCTTCTCTCTCTCTCTCTCTTTCTCTCTTTCTCTCCCCCTCTCTTTCTCTCCTCTCTCTCTTGGATGCGTCAAAAGGCTGTGAAAGTTTTGAGGACAGCGGAGTTCGTCCCCTACGTGGTGTTCATTGAGGCACCGGATTTTGAAACCCTTCGAGCCATGAACAAGGCAGCGCTGGAGAACGGTGTGGCAACCAAGCAGCTTGCGGTGAGTCCCCTCAGCGCCCGCATGGCAGGCAAGCGGGCAGAAGCAGTGGCGAGGAAGACGGGTAGAAGCAGCTGGGGCTAGTGGCTGCAAGGAAGGAGGCCTCTGGAGGTGGCCTTGCCAAGCACACCTCCTGCACAGAACTTGGCGGCGGCGGGGGGGGGGGGGAGCCAGTCCCTCCACAATAACCCCTAGCGTAACACAGAAGGGTTGTTAGAATCTAAGCTAAATACCATCATTTTGATATCAGGTGTGGTCCTCATAAATATATCAGCTATGTTAATGGAAGTGCTGTTAATGGGAGACCTCCAGCCATCCACTTACGGGGAGAGACTATGGCATGGAAATCATGCTGGTGTATTCAATGGTCCAGTTATTTGACAGTGTTCCTGCTCAATTTTCCTTTCTTCTTCTTCTTTGTCTTTAATAATAATAATAATAATAATAATAATAATAATAATGCAATTTACAGTCATACCTCGGGTTACAGACGCTTCAGGTTGCATTTTTTGGGGTTACGGACCTGCCGAAACCTGGAAGTACCGGAATGGGTTACTTCCGGGTTTTGGTGGTTGTGCATCTGCAGAAGCGCTAAATTGTGCTTTGGGCATGCGCAGAAGCGCCGAATCGCAGCCCGTGCGTGTGCAGACGCGCCGCTGTGGGTTGCGGACGGATCACGTTCGCAACCCGAGTGTCCACTGTATATACCACCCTTTATCAAAAGACCCCAGGGTGATGTAGCATATTATTATTATTATTTAATAACCTCTCTATTCTTTATATTCTAATAAAATTTATTCAAAAAACCTACACGGTGCATAAAAACAAAAACAGAATAATGGACAGAATAATAATAAAATAATCAGCCCTCCGCTGCACAACTTTAACAGGCCATAGATTATGTAATGGGCAAAGGGATGGGTTAAGAGGAATGTTTTTGCCTGGTTCCTAAAGACATGTAATGATGGTACCAGGCGAGCCTCTCTGGGGAGAGCATTCCACAGATCGGGAGCCGCCACAGAGAAGGCGTGTTCTCTTGTTGCCACCTTTCAAGCCTCTCTGGGATGGGGGGCATAGAGAAAGGCCTCAGGTGAGAAGCACAGGGTCCGGGTCAGTTTGAATGAGGAGGGGCGGTCCCTAAGGTATCGAGGTTCTGAGCCGTGGAAGGTTTGTTGGTTAATTTTCTTACGAAATGATAACAAATTCTGCAGAGTAAGAGAAGAAAGCTAACAGCTTGCACTTTTGATATCGACAAGCTGGAACATGTGCAAAAGAGGGCAACTAATATGGTCAAGGGTCTGGAAGCCAAGCCTTATGAGGGGTGGTTGAGGGAGCTGGTTATGTTTAGCCTGAATAAGAGGAGATTGAGAGGAGATAAGATATCCATCTTCAAATATCTAAAGAACTAATTGTCACATGGAAAATGGAGTAAGCTTGCTTTCTCATGATCTGGAGCAGGCACCCCCAACCTTCAGCCCTCCAGATGTTTTGGACTACAATTCCCATCATCCCTGACCACTGGTCCTGTTAGCTAGGGATTGTGGGAGTTGTAGGCCAAAACATCTGGAGGGCCGCTGGTTGGGGATGCCTGCTCTGGAGGGTAGGACCTGAACTAACGGCTTCAAGTTAGAAGAAAGGAGACTTTTTGGATTACAGTGGACGCTCGGGTTGCAAACGTGATCTGTGCGGGATGCATGTTCTTTTTTTTTTTTTAATAAATTTTTATTGATTTTCCAAACACATAATAAAAACAAACCATACACAAAACAAAAACATACAAACATATAAACATGTATAATTTCATAGTCTTATTTTCATACCCTTACTTCTCGGACTTCCCCATACCTCCCCTTTTCTGCATCCTTGTTTTACATTTCTTCAGCAACTCCTTCAATTAATTAATTATTTCAGTCACTTTCATTAGATTCTTTTTTCTTTAACTTATTAATTTCAGCTGCAATTCTCTATTTCTTAATTCCTTAACATCTTAACACTCCTCAATTTTACAACAATCTTTAAGGTATATTTTAAATTTCTTCCAGTCTTCTTCCACTGTCTCTTTCCCCTGGTCACGGATTCTGCCGGTCATCTCTGCCAGTCCCATATAGTCAATCACCTTCGTCTGCCATTCTTCCAGAGTGGGTAGTTCTTGTGTCTTCCAATACTTTGCCAGAAGAATTCTTGCTGCTGTAGTAGCATACATGAAAAATATCCTATCCTTCCTTGGCACCACTTGGCCGACCATGCCCAAGAGAAAAGCCTCAGGTTTTTTAGGGAAAGTCCACTTAAGGACTTTCTTGATTTCATTATAGATCATTTCCCAAAAGGCTTTGATCTTCGGGCAGGTCCACCAGAGGTGGTAAAAAGTACCTTCAGTCTCATTACATTTCCAACATTTATTATTGGGCGAATGGTAAATTTTTGCAAGCTTGACTGGGGTCATGTACCACCTGTAAATCATTTTCATTATGTTTTCTCTTAAGGCATTACATGCCGTAAACCTAACACCGGTGGTCCATAACTGTTCCCAGTCAGCAAACATAATGTCATGGCCAATATCTTGTGCCCATTTAATCATAGCTGATTTCACCGTTTCATCCTGTGTATTCCATTTCAACAGCAAATTATACATTCTAGACAGATTCTTAGTATTGGGCTCTAACAGTTCTGTTTCTAATTTTGACCTCTCCATCTGGAAGCCTATTTTCCTGTCCTGTTTAAATATCTCATTTATCTGAAGATAATGCAACCAGTCTCGTACCTTGAGCTTTAGTTTCTCATAATTCTGTAATTTAACTTTTTCACCGTCTTGCTCTATAATTTCACAATATTTTGGCCATTTAGACTCCATATTAAGTTTTTTCACCTCTTTAGCTTCCATTGGTGACAAACACCTGGGAGTTTTACTTTCCAATAAGTCTTTCTACCTCATCCACACATTATATAATGCTTTCCTGACAATATGGTTTTTGAAACCTTTGTGCACTTTAACTTTATCATACCATATGTATGCATGCCAGCCAAATCTATTATCAAACCCTTCCAGATCCAAAATGTCTCTATTCTCAAGAAGCAGCCAGTGTTTCAGCCAGCAAAAAGCCGCCGATTCATAGTAGAGTCTTAAGTCCGGCAGGGCAAACCCCCCTCTCTCTTTTGCGTCAGTTAAAATCTTAAATTTTATTCTGGGCTTTTTGCCCTGCCAGACAAATTTTGATATATCTTTCTGCCACTTCTTGAAACAGTCCATTTTATCCAAGATCTGCAACGTCTGGAATAAAAACAACATTCTAGGCAATACATTCATCTTGATAACAGCAATTCGGCCTAGCAATGAAAGTCTCAACCTTGACCATATTTCTAGATCTTTCTCGGGATGCATGTTCTCAACCAACAGTGTTCGCAACCCGTAGCTGCGCGGGTACTTCCGGGTTTCTGCGGTCCATAACTAAAAAAAAACGCAACCTGAAGCATCTGTAACCCGAGGTATGACTGTATTGGGTTATTGTTTTTATTTTGAGGTTTTATATTTTGAGGTTTTATATACAGTGGTACCTCGGGTTACATAAGCTTCAGGTTACAGATGCTTCAGGTTGCAGACTCCGCTAACCCAGAAATAGTACCTTGGGTTAAGAACTTAGCTTCAGGATGAGAACAGAAATCGTGCTCTGGTGGCGCGGCGGCAGCTGGAGGCCTCATTAGCTAAAGTGCTGCTTCAGGTTAAGAACAGTTTCAGGTTAAGAACAGACCTCCGGAACAAATTAAGTACTTAACCCGAGGTACCACTGTATTGAGTTTGTTCTTTGAACCGCCCTGAGACCTCCGGGTATAAATTCAATTAATAATAATACTACTACTAATAATAATTTGCATGTCCTGCCAGGATGCCGACCTGAAGCGGACGGTTGACGAGAGCTGCCGGATCCAGCGGGGCTACGGTCACTACTTTGACCTCTGCTTGGTCAACGACAACATGGAGCAGACATTCCAGCAGCTGCAGGAAGCCTTGGAGAAGTTGCACAGCGAACCGCAATGGGTCCCCGTCAGCTGGGTCTACTAGAGGGACGCCCTGCCTCTCCTCCTCCTCCTCCTCCCCACAGCCTCAAGAGTGTCGGCTTTGTCCTCCTCACATGGCCAAGAATCCCAGATCTCTTAACCTGCAGCACCCAGCACATGCCTGCCTCCCTTGACTTCTTTCTCCTTTTCCCAAGCACCGGGCACCACCTGAATAGCCCAGGCAAATCAGGCGCAACAAAAAAGTTGGCTTTATTAGATTCAAAAAGCAAAGGTGCTTCGTTGACGGTCCGGCCCTAGATCACCTCCAACCAGCCAAGAACTCTGCCACAGATGTGGGGGCCCTGCTCTCCCCCACCTTCTCCCCACTGCTGGCAACGAAGGAAGAATTCATCTCATGGCGGACGTGGGGGTTGGTCAGAGGGGTCGAGCCAGGCTACCAGTTACCCACAATGCCTTGCCCCGTCGGCTCCACCCAATTGTGTCCGGCTCCTCTGATTGGGTCAGGCGGAAGAGGGGTGGGCGGGAACACAACGCCTCTCCAGTCACAGCTAACTCACTGCCAAAATCACTGCTTTGTCGATGGACCGCAATCTCAATATTGCCAAAAGAACTGGTAGCCTGGGGTGTTGCCCCTTCCCGCCCCCTTGCCCCCACCGAACATACCACCCTGAGTAGATTGGAGGAGGGGAGTGGCGAATGCCTTGCCAACCTTGGTCAGCACGAGATTTTGCGGGGTGTTGGAAAAACGGCAGAGGGATGCCTAAAAGGTTTGTAAGCAAGGCAAGGAAGGATGTGATGCAAGATAGCCAGGTGGTGGGGACTTTGCACTTGGACTTGTTCCCCTGGGCCGTGGTGGCTGGTGGCTGAACGAGATCCTTCGGCCTCAGTTTAGCTGTCTGTAAAATGGGGCTATTTAATATGGTTTGTTTTTGTTTTACGCTGTTTGCAGAGGCGGGCTCCCTGGCCGCAAATATCCCCAAAGTGCTGTTGGGCGCATTGTACCAACCTGGGTCTCCCTCGGCCTCCCCATAGACCCAAAGACCTCTCTCCCTGCCCCAACTCTTTCAACTCTCCTAGGCAACACTGGCCAAGGTGGGCTTATGGTTCGACTCTGCAAAAGGCAGCGTCGTCGTACCAGCTAGGAAGTCGTTCTTCTCCAGCCTCTAGGAAGCTGACCCGCTAGTAGGAAAGCAGCGTAGGGAGGCTGCGAGGGAAACCCAGGGCTGGCATCAGGCATTGCTGGGCACCTGCCAAGGCCCACACCTTTGCAAGGGGGGCGCCACTACCTCCCTGCTCCTCAGCTGACTTCTTGCCTCCAAGCATGTAAACATTAAGAGCATAGAGTTATAGCATGCTGCTCCACCTGCCGTATGTTCTCTCTGTAGGTGGATGCATGGATCTAGCCCAGGGGAGAGTGGGCACCTTAGAGGGAGACCCATTGTCCAAGGTGCCCCACCCCTTGCAAACAAACCCCTAAAAGCACCACCAGAGAAAGCAATAGCAATTACAGTCATCTTTGATCCTAATCCTTGCTGTTCCTGCCCACAGCTCTCTTTGTCCCTTTTTACAGCATCAAAACGCAAAACAGATGATCAGGCGTTTAAAATCCGTAGCGCAGAAATGCGGGCTGCTTCTCGTCTGCGCCTACGTGAAGCCCACTCCCCTCGCGGATTCCACTTCCTGGATTTTCCGTTACCTGCAGTTGCTTCCCTCAATTTCCAGGGTTCTCCTTTTCTCCTGCCAAGGACCAACAATCACTACCTCACAACTCTATGGCAGCTGTTAACTGGCGGGACTACCCGCTGCAGGGCAAGGGCAGAACCTTGGACTTGGGGAGTTTTTTTATCGCCAGGTAAAGAAAAGAAGCCTCTCTGCAGTGCTTCTCCCACATGCCAATTTCTTTCTCTCCCCCTTAAAAAAAACGAAACCCGATTTCCTCCCACCCATCACCCACCTCTGAGATGATTCTGAGTCCGTGGGGAGCTGGTTAGCAGGGCAACATGGGGCAGAGCCCAACCAGTATATTTGCCACTGTATCTTTGCGAAAGAGGAGGATGGAGAGAAACGACCCCATCTCAGGCAGACCCACACTTATGCATCGGGTCCAGCGGTTATCAGGCTACACAGCCAGTGTGGTGTAGTGGTTAAGAGCGATAGACTCGTAATCTGGTGAACCAGGTTCACTTCCCCGCTCCTCCACATGCAGCTGCTGGGTGACCTCGGGCTAGTCACACTTCTCTGAAGTCTCTCAGCCCCACTCACCTCACAGAGTGTTTGTTGTGGGGGAGGAAGGGAAAGGAGAACATTAGCCCCTTTGAGACTCCTTCGGGTAGTGATAAAGCGGGATATCAAATCCAAACTCTTCTTTCATGGGGTCAGGAGAGGGAGGAGGTTACAGAGCTGGGATATTTTCCTTTATAAGTCAGGAGAGAGGATAGCTGAGTAACTGCCCCAACTCTCCCCCCCCCTGTATTATGAACATTCCTCCTAATTCGTTCACAGAAAGTTTGTGGGGGAAAGGTAGACACTGTTGGTTATTTATGGAGTGTTTTTTTTTTTGTTTGTGGAAAGGTTAGGCCATGTTTCTCATGCATTTCCCCACCCTGGTTGCAAGAAGTCCAGTTTTGGGGAGAGGGAAGGGGCAGTGGGTTTGTTGTGCATGAACACAAATCAACTGTAAGAGTGTGCTACCTGAATTTGCCAGGGGCAGCCTGGTAGCGCCTGAAGTCCCTGGCCAGGTTTCCTGTTTCTTGCAACACCCAGCGTTAATTTGAAAAGAAAAAAAATAGCAATAACTCCACCTGCTGGTGATCAAGTGTGTGCTTTCCCAGTAATTAGAAAACCAACTTGCTCATGGACAAAACTGCAAGGAGAAGGCAGTGCATTGATACTGTTGGGGGAAATATTGGGGTTCAGTACCCAAGACCCTGGACAGCCAATAAGATGCAGAGTCCAATTGTCCGTCAAACAGAACATTTATTTATTAAATCACCGCAGTGCGTTCTGGCTTACTCTCACTGTGCTGATGGGGGAAGCGGGACCCTGAGAGCTGAAACACACTGCTATTTCTACCAAACATATATCAAGATGTATTTCAGACATGGCGAAAGTCAGGATTTTCCACTCCACAATAGCAAGGCTGCGAAACAGGATCTTCTGATCTTCGTTGTCCCCTCATTGTTTGCTCAACAACCTTCCTTGGGAGATAAGCAGGTCTGGAGATAAGGGCTGTTATCGGTTTATGCAGACCTGACATTCCACCCAGCCCAGAGTTGCAGGCACCTCCTTGCTCACAAACACGTTTCTGATTCTTACATCTGTTGATAACTTCAGATTTTCAATTCCCACCCACCCACCGCCCGGCAGTACTCTGTGAGTGGTTGCTGTTGGTGTGATGGGGACTGTCAGGAGCTTGTCCTACTCTCGAGTAGGACCCTGGCAGAGACACATGCCCAACTGGCATGTTCCCTCCCTCCTGGTCGAAAGCTAGCTTCTGCCCAAACATCACAGCGACTGATGCTAACAGACATTGGCACACTTAGGGATCCGCAGTCTTCGCAGCTTGCGTAACAGACCTCAGCAACTCAGCATTTTGGCTAATCTACTTAATTTACATATAAATACACATGGATAACTGCAACATGGCTCCTTCTCTCTCTCTAGCATCAGACAGCAAAGAGAAAAAGAACAAAGGACATAGTCCCACTTCATGGAACACAGTAACACAAACATCCTGTCTCTGTCACTTCCCACTCTGTGGAGTCAAAACATACACTGTCATGTGATAGACAAAAATCCCATGACTGCAATCATGGAGCAGGAATTCTAACAGGGACCGCTTCTTCTGCTCCACAAATATAAGGAGGGGACGATGCAGAAAGCTGCTGCAGACTGCACACCCAGTAACCCCCTCCCCAGTAGGGGTCTAGATAAATTGAAATGGAGAAGTTGTGGAACAAGGAGGCAAAGCAACCCTGCCCCCAGAACAATAAAAGGGGGGTTTCAGAATACACCTGCTCATCCCCAAAGGAGAAAAAGCACAACTCTCTGGCTTTGGAATATTGGTAGGCATCTCCTTTGAAACTGCCATCATATAATCATAGGAATGAGGAAGCCGTGGTTCTCTGGATGTTGTCAAAACCCAATTCCCGTTGGTTCTGGCCACCATGACCAACGCTGAGCAGTGATGGGAGCTGAAACCCACCAATATCTGGGAAGGCCAAGCCTTCCCCCTTCCCTCCTTGGATCCCGAACGCCTTGCGAGTGAAACGTTTTGGTTCCCGAACGCCGCAAACCTGGAAGTGAGTGTTCCAGTTGGCGAACGTCCTTTGGAACTCGCACGTCCGACGCGGCTTCTGGTTGGCTGCAGGAACTTCCTGCAGCCAATCTGAAGCCATGCCTTGGTTTTGGAAGTGGAACGGGCTTCCGGAACGGACTCCGTTCGGCTTCCGAGGTACCACTGTACTTGCTTATCCAGAAGGAAGGGAGCCTTGTTGAATGTGGCAGGACTTACTTCTCAGTAGACATATTAAGGATTGTGCTGCGGCGTGGATGCAAATCTGGCAAGATAAAATCAGTGCTGGATTACCAAACGGGCATCGTAGGCACCGGCCCATTCCTTTTAGGGACAACGGATCAAAATAATATTGATTTGATCTTGAAAGAAAATTACAATCAAACTTTCTTAGTTCCGTGTCATCCCTCTAAAATCAGAAACGTGTTAGGAGATAATTTGCGAGGGGGACCCTGAGATTTCAATTCCCTAGAGGCCTCCACAGGGTTTAATCCGGCACGGGCTAAAATCCTCATTTGAATTTGCCTTATGGCAATGCCTTCTCTCCAGACACAGTGGGAATGGTTTGATCTGCGGCCCTTACTTTCTTGCCACCCTCCCAAGAACCACGCCTTATTTATTAGCTTCTCAAATAACCACTCTTTGGGATCTTAACTCTCTTGTGATCAGTGGCTTCCAAATCTTTCTCATGTGCTTTTTATATCCCACAAAATGTATGCGTGCATGAGTTTTTAATTTTGTACAGATAGCTAAAATAGAGGAGAGATTTATGTACCTTTATTTGGGGCGGGGGAAAACATGTATATTTAAAGAGGGGAAAATCTATATAAATTGGTAGCAGTTACGGGTGCGCAAAGAGAAAACGAGTCTTATTAACTGTAGCACCCTGGCTAGAAATGGCCAAAAGGACATGCCTGATGTTATAGCAAAACAGGCGTTAAAAATCAAAGCAGATTTTTTTTGGGGGGAGGCAGTAATTTAAAAGCAGTTATGCTATTGTTTACATGGATTAAGTCACAGAGCGGGGGGGGGGGAGGGCTGTCTCTTTTCCTCTGAGGCCCAGCTGGCACACACACGTAGCTACGTAGTGGTCACTCAGAATCCAGACGTGGGTTTTCTAGAGGGTGTCCAGCAGAAACTTGCCAATTATTACACTGCCTTGTGGCTGCAGTGGTGTAGCGGAATTGCTGGATTTACAGTGGGGCCGTGTCACCCACTGAACTTAGTGGGACTTAATTCAAAGTAGATACATGCGGGGGTCGAGCTGTTAGTGACATTAATTGTGCGCATTCCCACCAATGACTCCTAGGTTCGTTCTTAATGGGGTTTTGCTTATATTTGCATTTCTGCTCGGAATCATTTAAATTTTTAATTTTTTTACTGCAAATGCTCCTGCGCTTTTGTCCTGTCTCCCACTTCTCATGGTTTTGATCTTTGTACCTGCCCATCTCTCCGTAGTACTTCTGTGCCTCTATTCCCCTTTTTCTTTCTTTTACGTGTGTCTCTTAGCTGGGAGAAAGATAAAGCCAGGGACTTGCATCTAAATGAGGCCACAAATACTGGTATTTTAAAGCTTTGGGCTTAGTGGGGATGGGGCACCTTTGGGGTTCTGCTTCAGGCAGCGAAATGTCTTGGACAAGCAC